AACTACTCTTATAATGACTACAATCGACTAAGGCTCCCACCACTGGCGATGGCACTCACACTGCCCCCGTAGTGCCGCTATCGGTAATTAAAATGTCACATCACAGGTCATATTCTTGCTAAGTGGAAGACCTACGTTATGTTTTCCAAAAACTTCATCTACCCCACAGACTACAACACTTAAAATGTGACTCCCCAACAACCGGACCAATAAATCTACTCTTTAGAAACCAAGGACTGGGAGCTGGGGAGGAAGAATAAGCAGTAGGGTTACCCTCTCATCATCACTATCCAAAGCACTGTAACGAGCCTTTGTTGCCTAGACGGGTTTCCCACCATGCACCCAATGAATACAACTCTAGTTTGCTCTTCACCGAGTCTCTTATAGCGTCCAACCATTAGTGTTCCCACTGCTCCTTCGTGCTAGCTACTCTTATAATGACTACAAAGAAAACCAACTTGCCAAAAGGCAAAAATACCTAAAACAAACAAGGAGAAGAAATCACAAGTTTACTCCCATGTATCACAGATAATGTTTGATAGCAAGAAGTAGGGGACCAACCCGTAGCAAGAAGTAGAGGGCCAGCCCGAATTCCGAATTCCGGAAGATCGATTATCCCTCTCTCTCAATCCTAAGCTGCTGCAGCAATACGTGTTTCTAAAAACGAAACACTAAGAGCAATCCACGCGCGAGAACGGAGACAGTAAGAATTTTACTTTTCAAGACTCTCAACAAAGAAATCTCAATCCAACCACTAACGTCAGGACTACTACTAACTGTCTCAACAACCACAAGAAACACACAGCCGCTCAGGGAGAGACGGCACTAATTGTGCTATGTCGAGTCTGAAAGCAACCTACTATGTAACCCTTCACAGGTACTGTAGCCATAAAGAATCAAATTAGGTGAGAAAAGGAAAGGATCACAAACAAAGCATGAAGTAAATGCACATAGGGTGTAAAAGAACACGAACTGGCAGTTTCGTTCGAGTACCTCAGCATCCCGAGGCAATCACTCCATAGATGTGCGAGCAAATGACCTGGTGAATTACCGAAACTAGCCTAAACTGTGCCTACATGCAAACAAGATATGCAGAAGAAGACTTACAAAATTACTAAGTTAAAAACATGTCTGGATACATCACAGCGCCATTCCTGCTAGTGCTGTGACGCAAGGCGCTTTACTCCCTCCTTTCAGACTGCTTTGTGTTGTAGATAGGTCAAACGAGACTTGCTGAAGCCCTTGGACATGCCGAAGTGCTGCGACCGCAGCCGCACACTCTCCCACTGCGTCCAGATGTGCCGCTCCGCCTTCCATGCTTTTTCTAGTGATCAAGGCAGTCAAGATAGTGTGTCATGAGAGTACAGCGCACATCCTTTGGATGGTGAAAAAAGAGCCCCCCCTTTCCAGCAAACGGCTTAAGGGGAGGACGGCTCCTCTGGTATCAAGATCCTGTCAGGTATGAAGGTTGGTATGGTATGGAGGTCAGGTGCGGAGCTGCCAGGATGCCTTGGCGTAAGAGTGCAAGGCACTCCCTACCCGCTCAAGGGCTAGGCTACGCCAGGGCACTGTCGCCATAGCTCTCACACAACTATGGTGCCTGGCAGGGTAGGCGCCTCGTGGAAAGGATCAGCGTCTACATGCCCCAACGTTGCGTCCTACACAACCGCCGCCGATGACCGGCGCCGCCACCGCCGCTATCGCCCTTT